ACAACATAATCACCACAAAACTCCAACAAAGAGACACATACAATGAACACGCACATAAGGTGTGTACCACAAAATGGCTTTTTCAGTCACCTGAATTTAGGTCCATTAAAAAAAAAACAGGCAGTGCAGAGTAGAGCAGCTGTCCCAACACAGGCAGAAATGGAGCTGAAAATATTCCCACGCCAGTTCTCCTGAATCCCGTCTATTTTATGCTCTTGCGTGGATTCAAGGAAACAGAACTACTATTTAAAAGTACATTTACAAAGAAGCCTTTAAAAAGCGTCAAAATAAATTACTTTGAAGTGTTTTTCACCAATACGCCTCCAGCTTTCCCTTCTTTTCCTATTTGCTGTTCCACAGAACTCAACTGTGACTATATTTAACTGACTTTACAAGCTGTGGGGAGATTGAGTACACAAGGCAGGTCCCAACTGGAGCTGTGTGCATTAACTAGGAACCAAGGTTTTTTGGTTTGGGAGTTTTCTTTTACACTCCCCGCCCCCCCTTTTTTAAGTGTCTTAAAATTACCTTATATCCTGGAAACAAGAAAAAAACACTAAGAAGAACCTCTTCTCAGTTTGCTATGTAGATTGAGTCCTGAAATTTATTTTTTTATTAATAACAAGATGTTCAACGCAAACACTGCCACAACACAGTATTCTTCATTAAAAGTTTATATTTTATTATTTCTGCCAGAAAATGCTCATTCCATCTAGTCCATATTATTAGAGAAGAATAAATACTTCTCAAAAGATTTTCTTTTAGAAACAGGTATATAAAGATAAACAGCATTAGGAACTACCTAGGATGACAACGAAATCAAGACTTCCCACAGAGGAAAAGTAAATTAATAATTTCACTGAGCTGGATCCCTCTGGCTGTACAGTCTACTTCCCCCAACAACATAAATGATCTCCACAAAATTCTAGAGATAGATTCCAGCATGCAGCTGGCTTTACCAATTATTCTGCTGTCCTATGGGAAAATCATTTACTGCTTCTGGCTTTAATTTTCTCATCTGTAAAATTAAAACTGGAACTTTAAAATAATCTCTGAAATTATTTCCACCTATAAGAAGTTTCAGATTAGCAATTCACATTAATTGGAACTAAATCATATTCCAAAGACTGACTTTCTGCAAACTTGGTAGCTATTTGGCTATATATGGAGTTCTAATCACTCAGTATGATTACAAGTGCTATGGTTAGCTAATATTTCAAAGTGTGTCAATACCCCTTTCTTTAATTATTACATAATACTAAATATGTTATCTCCTTCCATCCCACAAAAATTATTCAGACCACAGTTACAGTTCACAGCTTCCAACTAGTTTGAATACTTAGAAATTTTGAATATGAATATAATTGGACTACTTTTACATGGGCAAATTTCCCTGAATTATTACTGATATGATGTACTGAGATAATATATTTTTATGGTTTTGTCTCTAAGGAGTATTATCTTAAAATATTTAATTTTATTTTTCCTGAAAAGAAGTATAACTTTGAAAAATAGTTCGGTCATGAAAATATGAATGAGTGCATTCTGAGTAAACAGAGTTGATAGTAAATGAACAGGATAACCATTTGATAACTACATAATCTTGTGCAAGAAAGCTGTATTCTTATAATCAGTATATAAGAAAATGTATAAAACCTTTTATTGTAATCTCTTACTCATAATAATCTTCAGTATTACCTGTATTATTATAATTATTAAGAAATACTAATAAAAAAACACATAGAAAACCACTACTGATATCTGAAAATGTCTATAAAATATTATTAATCTAAAACTAGATTTTCCAAATTTCAATCTTTCTCATTCTTTAAAAGCTTTATGACATTTATACACTGTTCTTTACTTTTTTCTGTAAATTATTTTGCTGTGTCTCTTTTGTTTTCTGTTTTGTGTTTTTGTGCATTTTTCTGTCTTTAACCTCACTGTAGGCAAATGTCAACAATGGAAACACACATTAGAAATGGGGTAAATAATTTTTTCCTAAGATAAATATATAACAATTGATTTCAAATGTATTCCTTAAAATATTTCATGTTATCTTACGAACAGGTTTGAGAAACATGGATCTAAACTGTTCATTTGCTAATCTATACTAGGTTTCCAAATTGAAGTTCACATATTCTGATAGGAACTCCACCATACTTAAGGGTCATACACAAGCTGACAGATCAATGTCATAAGCATACACAGTTCTCTAACATGAAAATATTAATGTTATAAACAAATGCTTAAGTCCATATTTTTATCTCCTCATAATTTGGACTTAATTATTTAAGAATGGTATTTAAAATTCCCTTTTTTAAACACAAAACTATATTCAAGAATACCTTCCATAAAGGCTATTTTAATCAAACTAAATGCAATCTAAGTACTTTATTGGTCAATTTGCTTCCTGCTACTAGTGAATGTAATTAAATAAGAAAAAAGAAAATAAAAATTATCATTTTTCAGATGATATAACTATATAACTAAAAAACAAGGATCTATTAAGATACCAGGTTATAATCAAGAGTTTTCCAATTAAAAAAAAAAAAGTTGTATGTAAGAAAATTACATTGAGGAAAAACATCTCATTTATATTAGCAACAAAATTTACATACATGAAATCAGGGTTAACAAACTATTAATAGAAATTATATAAGGAAAACCTTAAGCTCTTCAAAGCTGTAAAAAACAGAAGGTATTTTAAAATACTGAAGGACAATCTTGGCTCTTAGATTAGAAGATTCAACATTATGAAGGCATACATTGTACCCTAATTAACCTTAAATTTAATTTAAGATCAGGTTATAGGGTTTTAGATAGAAGGTGACAAAGTTATATGCTACAGTCAAATAAATATGCAAGAATAACCTAGAAATCCTGCAAAAGATTAGTTGGAGGGATGGAATCCTGTTAGTCACTAAAATTATGTTATGAAAACATGATACAGCAGAAAGACAGTAAATATACAACCAAAACCTAGATACAGTCCCAAATAAATACATAAATATAGCATAAAATTGGCATATTTCAACCAACAGAGAAAAGATGGATTATTAAATACATGATGCTACGAAATAACATTTTGAAAAAAATAAAGCTACAGCCCTATCTCATTCCTTATACCAAAATAAATTTCAGGCACAACAAAGAAAAGTTAAAAATGAAACCTTAAAAATACCTGAAAAATATGGGTAAATATATTCATAATCTTTGACCAAGGAATATATTAATAAGGACACAAAATCAAGATCATAAAGAAAAAGACTGCTAACTTGAGAGACTATAGATTGATAACCTGACTGATTAAAATTTTCTGTAGCACCAAAACTACCAAATAATTAAAAAGCAAATGAGAAAATGGAGAGAAAATTATCTTCAATATGACAAAAAGCTAATTTCCACATATACAAAGAACATATCTAGGAAGAAAAACAAATAATCTGGTAGGAAAAAGGCAATGCCTGACAACATATGTATAAATTGACAATAAATATATATACAAAGATACTGACCCCTACTCAAAATGAGATAAATATAAATCAAAGTCAGATACCAACATCACACTTTTTACCCAGTTACCTATATGTATATAACAAGAATGTTTATTCCAGCAAGGGTCAGAATTGCATGTAGAATAAAACGTTTCTGCAAATTTTAAAAGTATATATATTGATACGTACATAAAAATATTCCTGAAAAGATACAACAAAAACTGTACTCTGAGGGGAGAACAGAATGGTAGAGATAAAAGTGATGAGAAAGACTTTCTATACAGTTTGATTTTTGTCTTGTCCATAAAACACTTTTGTATAAAAAGTAAGAAAGTGTTTTTATTAAGGCTGCTTTTATGTTTTTATACATAAGTATTCTCTAACTATTCATCCCAGTGACACATACAATTCCACATCACAATCACAGTTACTGAAAGCTTAAATGAAAATATTTGATATTTCAAGGTAGATTTTAGACACAAAAATGGAAAAAGCTGTGAAGTATATTTAGTTTCTCTTCTTGAACAGTTGGCTCAGTCCACATTTTTCTGGACTTAAAAGAAAAATGGCTTATAAATACATACAATGATCCTATTTGGAAAATCTTTACCTCTATTTCAGAAATTCTGTTCAATATCAAAATGGTACATTAAATAAATTTTCTTTGCAGTCCAGATTGATGTTAATAGTTTTCATTAACATACATTAAAACAATGTGTCACAGCAGTCTTATACTCAGAATTAAATTAAGATACTGGGAAGTGGTTAGGATCTATAATTCTGATTTTGGCACATAAAATAGGAAAGAAAGTCAGTGACCACAAGTATGCACCAACTCTTTTTCCAAGTCAAATTCAGTAAAAGATTTTTTCCACCTAAAACTTAGGCCACTCAACTTCCAGACATTCATTGTCTGGTGCCACCCAAAACTTGCTCTCTTGACTAGTTCTGAGTTTAGAATATCAGACTAATAACATATCAATAAATGTAGGCACTGAAATGCCATTATATGAAAGATGAGAGTAAAAAGCTGAATTTTTCAAGTTATTTATCACTAAAAACATGAACCTGAACTTCTGGCCAGACCCAAACCTGTGTTGAATTTTATCTGGCTAAGGGAAATTCAATAAAAGCCTCTTACTGAGGAGATGAAAAAAAAAAAAAAAAAAAAAAAAAGTTTAACTAGACCAAACCAGTCAGTTCCAAAAGAGTACTGTAATAGGTTGAACCATATGAAATGTATTCAACAGTTTACCTACAGCTCTTTACCTATTTCATATGTCTCAATCTAATTTTAAACCTTTTAAAGAGGTTGATTATTACCTTCACTGATTTCTTTAATAGTACTTCTTTATTTTTTCAACTCATAATATATGTGACCTACTTTAGAAATATGTTTTCCAAAACCAGAGGTGAGGCTCTTCCTTGTGGGATGCTTAGTCTCAAGTCCTTCCAGAATACTGGCATGAATTCATAAATGCTGATATGTTAAAAAACAAAAACAAAAACAAAAAAACTAACTTCTTTACTTGAGACTTTATATGTCCAATATGATACAATGTAGATTATTCAAATCACAAGGATACTTGTTATTACCAATTAAAGGTCTGCATACGACCAAGTTTATCTTTACTATTTCCCGCTAATTTTATTTAACAGACAAAACACAAAAAGAAATGAGTAAGTACAAAAAGGATAACGATTTTTTTCTCCTAATTTGACAATTAATAATGAAATTAAAAAACTGGACAGTTTCCAAAAATTAAGACGATTCACAGACTGACTTGAAAGGTAATTACCATTTGGGTGGATGTCTTTTGTGGCTAAACCTTGTGACCAAATGCTCAAATTTATTTTAGACCTCTCTCCTAAATGGTTCCCCCATTTAAAAGGAAACATTTGACTTCCTTACCACCAATACGTGACAGCTTAACATTTTAACCTAATTGCATCTGACTGACGGGAAAAGATTAGTGTGTCCCAAGCAACAGATAAAAAGAACATAATTGTTTTAAATTTTTCAAATTCAGGCACTATGTTCATAGGAGCTCCCTATTAATGGAGCATTGGGGGACACCATATCTTTAAGAAAAATGAAGTGTGAGAAGAATAGCCATAATGCCAATTTCCTCTTTGGCAACAGTTCCATCAAGTTGCTTTCTCTTTCTTGTAGGGGAGGGTAGGAATCAGTATTTCTGCTAAAAGGTGTTTTTTAATCAGGTTTTGAAGATCTTACAAATGTGAGTTGAAAATTACGTATATGAAACCAAACACAATGGCCATAATTTGAAAGTTTTGAAAAGTTATTTTACACCAACAAACTTAGAAAATCAAATTGAGCTATAAAGAAATATATGAACCACAAAAGAAAATTAAAATTATTTTTGGCATCTGTTAGAAGTGAGTAGTAGATTACTGTTTTTTAAAGATTCAAGGAAGATAGGATGCTTACAGGTTGGAGCCAAATGTTACAAAGAATCTAAATAGATGGTATAGTGTTTTCTTCCTTTAAATCTTTTCAGTTGATACCACTTTCTAAGCCCAAAGCTTAGAAAATTAAATATATTATTAAGTACCTTAAATACTTATTCCCCCGTACTTGTAAGTTGTGCATAATAATTTCTAGGCAGAAGTATGAAGGATAAATACTAGAGGCAGTATTTTCAATCACTTAAAAAATATCCTCAAGGAATTCCATTATATATACATTCCTATACCAAAACCTGAAGAAAAACTGCTCCTACTAAAAAAATAATAAAATAAAAATTATTTTCTTGATTTTTTTTAATTAAGAAAACCTAATGAAAACTTCTAGATCCTAGAAGGGAAAGGGCCATGCTTTGCAGTGTCATTCACAGCTTATACTCAATAAATAAATGGGTAAACTAATAAGAATTAGGCATACAACTAAATATTGACTCTCATAATAAACGTATTTTCTTTAAATATAGTCTTAAAAGATGTCCTTGATACCTATTAAAATCAGATTGGATTTATACTTTAGGGGTTTTTTAATAAAAAAATTAATTTCATAATGTAACCAACAAAAAAAATTTTAATTTCATAATGTGACCAACAAAATAAGCTACTCTCTTCTTATCCTAAAGTCAGGTAAGAAACAAAGAATATGATTCAAAACATCATTGTTATAAAAAGATAAACATTTTGGGGGGTAGACATTATTTTTGTTTCTGTGCATGAGAGCTTTCTAATTTCTATTTTGAATATGCTTCTATTTTCTTGCACACATGAAATATCAACCCCATACTTTGTTCAATGTCCTATTAAAATGAGAAGAAAGCAAAAAGCACCCAAGGTTTTAAATAAGAAAGCCAAATACCACAGCTCTGAGCAGGCTGCTAACCTTGTAGAAGAGAACACAAAACTATAACCAATTTATTATTATAAAGAAAAAACAGGGGCGCCTGGGTGGCGCAGTCGGTTAAGCGTCCGACTTCAGCCAGGTCACGATCTCGTGGTCCGTGAGTTCGAGCCCCGCGTCGGGCTCTGGGCTGATGTCTCAGAGCCTGGAGCCTGTTTCCGATTCTGTATCTCCCTCTCTCTCTGCCCCTCCCCCGTTCATGCTCTGTCTCTCTCTGTCCCAAAAAATAAATAAACGTTGAAAAAAAAAATTAAAAAAAAGAAAAAACAGAATTCATTCAGATTTTTCTAAGTATGCACACAAACTTTTATTTATTTGTATTTCAGAGGATTTAACTTTTGTGGAAAGTGCAAAAATGAGTGATAAACCTACTAACAACTCCATTTGTAACAGCAATACAGCACAGATTTTCCTTATAGACTCAATACATTCCAAAGTAGAGCTTCTCAAACTTTACCGTGCATCCAAAAACTGTGACATCTTGTTAAAATGCAAGGTCTGATTCCATCAGACTGGGGCAAAGCCAAAGACTGCATGTCTAAGAGGCTCTCAGGGACACTGCTCATCTGTGAACCACATTCTGGACAGCAAGGTTCTTCAAAGACCTCCCCTAAGACAATTGCTCAAGTGATCAAGGGCCTTCAAATTCATTGTCTTCTTTTTAAATGTGGACATTATGATATGGTCATTTTTGTGGTGAAATGGGAGTTACCAGTCTCAGATTCATTTTAAGTGAGCTGGGAAATAAGCAAGTAGTAAGAATTCTGTGTATGTCTCAACCCAAGTGACCAAGGACTGCTAATCTGTTGCTCTGAATAAAAAAGAAAACACATCCTGTGGAGAATCTCAGCACATACATGTTGTTTCAACCAAAGATGCCAGTGCTCATCTTGTTGTGTGAGTTAGTATTTTCACTGCCAAAAGGAATTCTTCAGACAGAAGACAGAATTGCCAAAGAAATTAGGGCTTCAGTAATTAGCAAACCACAAGCCACTACGCATCTTGCATCAGTTGGAGATGAATGGGAACACTTGCAAAAGTATTTTACCATTAGCCTTTTCTGTTAAAAAGAACCACAGTGGGGAGAAAAAAAAAAAAAAAAAAAAACAGGAATTTTTAAATTCCTTTATTACCCAATACAATTATGTGTTTCAGCCTAAACTAACGTTGGCACTGTTCAGCAGGATTCTTTCATTCCACAAGGGTAAAATGAGAAGCAGAACAAATACACTGTCTATGTTAGCTTTTCCCAGTGTATCTAAGAGAGACATCTCTGGAAAGAGGCATTAAAACCTGCCTGCCTGATACAGTTCTGATTCACTATTGTCTCCAAGATGGTAGCTGAAACAAAAACAAACCTCATCCCCCAAACCACATCAATCCCTCCCTCCTCTAGAAAGCACCATTCTTTTCCATTCAATTTTCCACAGTGGCCTTTTCATCACCTTGCTGGTTCCAAATTTTATTTTCCTTCATAGTACTAGTAATGTTAAAACACACATACACAGCTCATATGTATACATAAAGGAAACACAGAAACCAAAAGGCAGTCTCATTCACATTCAGAGAACTCCTCTGGAAGGTAGTCAACTTATAGTAAGAAAATACTTTCTAAAGTATGGTGAGACTAGAACAGAAAATTGAAGTATAAATATGTCCTATGATGTTTGTTTCCTGAAAAATGGAGGAATGTGAAGCAAAATTTCTAATCAACCTCAAATACATAATACCTAGGGGCCAAAATAAAATGGTACTTCCCACATAATAACACTTCAGAGTACCTTAACAAAGGAACTTCCAACCTTGGTAAGAATCACAGATCACAACGGTCACTCCTTAGTAAAAATCCCCATTTGGATACCAGCTGCCCATTTGATTGCTACTAAGCTCACTGCTCTGACTTCCCTTCACTGCTGGGGGAAAAAGGTAGGGATGAGAATTGAGCAAATCCCTTCAAATTACTTCTCCTAACCTTCACTCAAAGCAGTATACCCAGATACGGTTACAATGGCTTCTCCTTCTCCAACTGGCATAAATGGATGCTTCTTTCCCTTAGGATGTCCATCTTAATTAATTCCCTATACCACCAGAGGTAGCAAGGTAGTCTTTCCCAAGTCCTTAGTTGTTTGTGAGAATTACAGCTGCTTTTATCAAGAATCTTCAAAGTTAACTCTGCAGGAAAAGAAATCATCAAAAATAAGAGTAAGGGGCATGAGGATAAAAAATTATGTGCTCTGCTGAGTACTGTATGTAAGTGATGAATCACTGAATTCTACTCCTGAAACCAATATTGCATTGTATGTTGGCTAACTAAAATTTATTTTTTTAAGTTTATTTCTTTATTTTGAGAGAGAGATAGAGACAGACAGACAGATGGGGGGAGGGGAGGGGGGATCGAGTCGGGGGAGGGGCAGAGAGAGAGAAAGAGAGAGAATCCCAAGCAGCCTCTGCACTGTCAGCATGGAACCTGACTCAGGGCTCAAACTCAATGAACCATGAGATCATGACTTGAGCCGAAACCAAGACCCCGTCCCTTAACTGACTGAGCCACCCAGGGGCCCCTAACTAAAATTTAAAATAAAAAAAATAATAATAATAAAAAATAAATAAATAAATAAAATATAAGTGCTCTGGGTAAGCAATAACAAACATAGGTAAGTTGGCCATATTGTTTTTGGATGGATTGAGTTTTCCTTCAATATTTTAGAACTTTACAAAATCTCTCTACCACCTGTTAAGTTAAAGCAAGCCCAAATTTGGGTGTATACAGTAAATGTAGACCAAAAAGTAATTTTAAAAACCTCTTTGTAAGGAATGTACACAAATATATTTGTAGTTTTATGGTCACATTATATTAGCATCATGTATAGGAGTGTAAATGAACAAGGAAGCCAACAAAAAATTATTTGACTTCAAATATAATGCAATCCTTTCAGAGTTAATAGGAGGAACCATGATCTAATTAAGCCCAAATATTAACATATTTTTAAAATAAATTTTAAAAGACAAATGAAAACTTCTCCACCAATAAAAAACAAGTAGTACTATATTTTCCAAAAGATTTTTACAATGGTTACAATGGTTTTCATCTTCATAATTTGCAACTTGTGCTAAAATGCTGCAACTAAACTTTGAGAAGAGTGACTTTTGGACAGTGATTCTTCACCAGGAGAAAAAATGACAAAGGCAGCTGACATTTATGGACAGTGTCCAGTTATTATGTGAGGATGTAACAAGCACAACTTCTTTCACATAATCTTCATTAAAAGGAGATGAATGAGTACTATTATGACCCCTTTTAATAGGTGAAAATCATGTCAGAGATAAAGAAATCAATCCAGGTCTCATGCTAAACTCCAAATTTATTAATCATTTTATATATTTTTGAAACTAATTCTTTAAAGATAACTCAATTGGGGCACCTGGGTGGCTCAGTCAGTTAAGCGGCCGACTTCAGCTCAGGTCATGATCTCACGGTCCGTGAGTTTGAGCCCTGCGCCGGGCTCTGTGCTGACAGCTCAGAGCCTGGAGCCTGTTTCAGATTCTGTGTCTCCCTCTCTCTGACCCTCCCCTGTTCATGCTCTGTCTCTCCCTGTCTCAAAAATAAATAAAACGTGAAAAAAAATTTAAAAAAATAAAGATAATTCAATTTACTAAACCAACACACATTACACATTTTCTAAAAAATATCACTTCCCTAAATATATACTATTATTCTTGCAACCTGAATAAATAACAACTATACCTTATGCTCTTTGAAACATTTTTAATAAATTTTGTCAAACCTATTATGCAAAGACAATTTTAGAGTACAATTAATCTTTCATTCTATGTATAAGTTAGTTTCACTCATGGATTAAAACAAGTTATTTAAATAGTAATGAATGACTGAAAATAGGTGCTCACAGAGCACACACTATATCCGCTATCCTAAACATTATGAGTTCTGAGACAAGATTTATGAATAAAGCAGAGGTTATAATAGTATCCTCAGGGAGCTTCAAAGTGTTTCTTTGAGGATTTTGTTTCCATTTGCGTGTACTTGAGGATCTGGACATTCATTTTCAACGTCAACAAAGCTGTTGTATGAAGTGCTGACCCAGAGACAACTGGGAAGACCCCAGTTCCCACCATGACCCTCAAGCACCAATTTTTCTCGGACACAACAGGAACATACCTCAGGCCGGTGAAAAGATAAAGGACCTCAATGAAGAAACCAAAGTACCCTTTCAAGCAGTTACTATTTCCCAAACTCTCCCTGAAACACAAAGAAGAGCTAAGGGTTTGGTTTCAAAGAACGTCCTGGCTATGACTCAGGCTGCAAAAAGTCAGAATAAGAAAGCCAAGACCTCAACCAAGCAAGTCACTAATGACAGGAGTCACTGTCAATAACTTAAAAGCAAGATTTGCAACAGATAAGCTGCGATACAGCTAATTCATTCAGGAAAAACAGAGACCTGGCTCTCTGTGCTTGTTTTACACCACAACATATTCACCAAGAAAAATAATATTCTGCCAAGGAACATCTTAATGACACAGGAAATTGTCTATGCCTGATAAGGTCACTGCCCTCAGAGGCAAAATCTCTGGAGACTAAGCTGGCCCCCAGAGCCAGACCTGGGTAAATATTCTAGTGTCGATTTAAAAAAAATAAAATAAAATAAGCCCACTTTCCAAGGATGGAAAGCACACCTGACTAACAGTGTGGACACCTGGGATCTATCTAGCCACGATTCTGCCTGCAGCTATGTGCCCTTGAAATTCAAAGTAAGCCACAGTGTATACGGGCCAGTTTTTGCACTGGTGAAAAAGAACTGATTAGACAAGTTTAGTGGTTCTCAAATTCTCCTCCCATGGAACACCAGTATTCCACAATTTAAGAGTGTGGTTTTTCTGTAGCTAAAACCAAATAATAGGCATCTGTTTGCAAAGTTCTTTCTCATGATTCTTTCTTATACCTCTGGGACTTGAAACTACTTGTTAGCTATGAGCAAGCAGAAATTGACTGCTAAGGGAAAAGAGTAAATTTTTTGTGTGTTTTCCAGTCTTGTGTTCAGGGTTGGAATTTTAAACTTCATACTTAAAATAGTTATATTTATTGCTAGTAAAAGTTATTCCTGGTACAAATGATAGAATCAAAGATACCAAATTGTCATGCATACACACACACACACACACACACACACACACACACACACACACACCCCTTCCTGGTGTTTTGCTAGTGACCACATTTGAGACTTGCTAGATTAGTAACATCTAAAAAGCAGCCCTGGGGTGAGAGGAGAACACATATGTAATGTGAGGTGAGGTGAAGTGATGCATATGTCCTCACTCACGCTGCTTCTCACAGGCATGGAGTTTCCTCTTGATCTTTAGGTTTGGGGCCACTGCAATGTCACTTTATTCCTGCCATCCTGTGTGCCTGCAGCACCTTTCTCTATCACTCTATATACTCTATGATTATATCTAGGAATAAAGAATTAGACGAAAAGCAGCCCATGGATTTAGACAACTTTCTAACTTTCTCACAGCTCTACAATGCTGATGCGAAACTGTCATAAACAGAGTATGCGCAAGCTCTTAAGATGCCCAATCAAGAATGATACAGGCTAGGTTTAGAATACTAAATTCTGTTGAGTACGTGGCCCCAGGTGACAATAGGAAACTATCCTAACAATTAACAGGAACTAGAAAAATCACCAGGAGAAGGGTAGGAAATCATGTTATCTGCCTGGATTTTCAGGAAGAGAAAGAATCACAAGTGTAAAGTCAGATTTCCAAACTTAACCAAGTAATGTAGAACTCTCAAGCCCAAGAGAGGCAAACACTAAACAGCCTGTATCAGAGAGTTCTTCAGAGAAACAGAACCAACTGGATATGTGTGTGTGTGTGTGCGCGTGCACGCACGCGCGCGTGTGTGTGTGTGTGTGTGTGTAGACTTATTATAAAAAAAAAAAAAACAAAAAAAACTGGCTCACATAATTACAGGGGCTGAGAAGTTCCAAGATCCTCAGCCAGAAAGCTGGTAACTTAGGAGAGCCAATGGCATAAGCTTGTAGGTTTGAGACTCAAGAATTGCTAATGTTTCAGTTATAGTTCAAAGTTAAGAATATATATATATTGTTGTCCCAGCTCAGGACATTCAGACAGGAGGAGGTCTCTCTTACTTGCAGGAGCGTGAACCTTTTTGTTCTATTCAGGACTTCCACTGATGGTATGACACCCACCCATATTAAGGAGGGCCACATTACTCAGTTACAGATTCAAATGTTCATCTCATCCAGAAGTACCCTCACAGATGAACGTAGAGTCTACGGCCATACTACCCTGAATGCGCCCGATCTCGTCTGATCTCGGAAGATAAGCAGGGTCGGGCCTGGTTAGTACTTGGATGGGAGACAGATGCACGTAGAATGTCTGACCAAAGGTCAGAGAATCCTGTTGAGTTGACACATAAAATTTATATCACAAGTGTACTCCTTCTCAAGGAAGTACCCATATTCATCACATCTCCTTAAATCCCCAAATAAATTATAACAATAAATATATAATTCAGCCTAACATGATACAACTATCCTTTGTACAACTGAAAATCCATTAACCCCTTCCCCAGAGAAGAGGAGGTAAAGTCTTTGAATGAGGTTTGTTCTCCTCTTTAATAACCCATTAAGTTAAATACTATGATATAAAATAAATAATATTTAAATAAATACTATGATATAAAGTCAATACATCTTGAGTTACATTATGAGGGAATAAGAGAGGGAAGAAAACAAAGATATTCGCTCTATAGTGTGTGTGTGTCTATATATATACATATTGTGTGTATATACACATACATGCACACAAGCACATGTATATGCCTAACAAAATAAAGAGGAAATTACTTATGACAATTACAGCCCTTGTTTCCATAATGATCATGTCACTGTAGCTAGTTTTTTATAACTACCTTCTTTCATTCTTTTGCCTTCAGCAAGCACCTCAAATCATCATGGTTCTTCACCAGGTGGAGTAACCCAAACCTTCATTCCTGAAGGTCCAGGCTATTTAAAGCCTTGCCTGAATTGGATTGCTGTAGTTTTCCATTGACCTTAATGCAGGGCATATAATACTAAGAAATGCCCTGAGGGATCTCCTGTATTCAACAGAAACTCTTCCTTGCCTCCATTGTGGAGCAACAGTACAATTTCCTCTTGGTAGTCAGGATCAATCACTCCAGCTAACACTGTAACACCTTTCTTTGCTTGCTGAATCAGAGGCATGAAGAACCTAAAGTGGCAGGTGGCAATCTTAACTTCCAGTTCAATGGGATCATTGTTGTGTCTCCTGGTAGAAACATTCTTCCTTCTGGAACTAAGATTTCTAGGCTGCAGAGCATAAGGTCATGGGAAAAGGAATTAAAAGTTTGCTACTAGGTCACTAGGGGTAATTGTAAGTGGTGCCACTCCATTTCCATCTCTTGATTCTGGACCTGTGAATCCTGGCTATGGGAAAAACAGCACCATATGGTGATTCGGAACATATACAGCCTTCTGGAGAACCTGGCTCCAGCCCCACAAGGTAGGGCACCTGGCACTGCAACTGAGTTTTCAAAAGACCATGCCACTGTTCATCAAGCCAGCTGCTTCAGGATGTTGGGGAACATAATATAATAAGTGAATTCCATTGGCCCAATGCTACACTTCATTTGCTGTGAAAAGAGTTCCTTGATCAGAAGCAATGTTGTGTGGAATACCACAATGGTAGATAAGGCATTCTGGAACTCCACGGAGGGCAGTTGGGAAGAAGCATTATATATAGCAAATGCAAATCTATATCCAGAGTGTCTATTCCTACCATAAGGGAAGCAGTTCAATGTAAATAATCTTAATCAGCCTCAGACCATGGTAGCTGGTTGATGACCTTTAAGGAGCGGTGCCATATAAAGGGGCTCAATGTTAGTCTCTGTTGTGGGCAAATTGGGCAGTCAGCAGTGCCCAAAGCCAGGTCAGCCTTGATGAATACAAATCCATGTTGCTAAGAACATGTACAATGCCATCACTGCCACCATGGCCACTTTGTCCAGGAGCCCACTGGGTGATGACAGGGGTCGCTGGGAAAGAGGTTGACTGGTATCCACAGAATGGGTCATCCTAACAACTTGATATATTAAAATCTTTCTCTGGGGCAACTGGATGGTTCAATCAGTAAAGCATCTGACTCTTGATTTCAGCTCAGTTCATGATCTCACGGTTGTGAGATCAAGCTCTGCATCAGGCTCCACGCTGAGCATGGAGCCTGCTTAAGATCCTCTCCCTCCCTTTCCCCACGCCCTTCCCCCACTCTTCCTCGCATGTGCACATGTGCACTCTCTCTCTCTCTCTCTCTCTCAAAAAAGTAAAAATAAATTTAAAAAAATTAAAATCTTCCTCTGCTGAGGTTACCTTTTGGTGACCATTCACATGGGAAACAAATATTTTCATGTTTGTTGCCCAATCAGAGATCTACTCACACATCTGTTCCTCAAATTTCCTTGTAGCCAATTTTCCTATCATGTTCCTTCCAACTCCCTGATCACCAAGCCAAACCACTGGCCCAGTGAATTGGTCATTGGCACATCTGGCCATTTCTTCTTCTAAGCAAAGTGAACAATCAAATAGGTGCTCAAAGTTCTGCCCACTGGGTGATTTCCCTTTACCAGTGTCTATCAGGGATGTCCTAAAAAGGGGCTGCAGTGCTGCAGCTGTCCACTTTCAGATGAACTTACAGAACTATCTATAAACCAGGCCCAAGTCCTCTCTTCCACTACCACAGAGAACTCCTTACAAAAATCATACATACAAGCTAGGGGAGAGGAGGCAGTGTAATGATAGTAGGACCATGGGCACTTGGGTTACTTCTTCTTATAACTTTTTTGTGCTCTCTGGATCTTCTTAAGTTGATCTTATATATGGCACTTTCATCTGATTATACAGTGCGTTGTGTCCACCCAACTTTATAGCTTGGTTCATCAGATAATATCCAGTTCAGATTGCAAGGCCTATTGGCAAGTGTTCCACTAAGGTCTATTAGCAGTCCAAAAAAAGCTGTTTCTCATGTTTCTGAAGAGAATGGTAATTAGCAGCGGAAGATGGCAGGGCTTTGCTCCAAAATCCTAAGGGACTATGTTGCAACAGATCTGACTATACAGGTGTGCCAAAGGCTCCAAGCAGCATCCCTATCTCTCACTGATACTTCAAGTGCCATTGGATCTGCTGGATCATATGGCCCAACTGGCAGAGCAGCTTGCATGAAAGCCTGGAACTTCTGCAGAGCCTTTTCTTCTGAGCACCCCTCAAAACTAGCAACTTTTCTGCACTCAGTAAAGGAGCCAGAGTAACACACCCAAATGAAGAATATGTTACCTATAAAATTCAAAGAGGTCCAACAGTTTGTAAGAAGGACCAGATGCAATAACTATCCTTCACCTTAGAAGGAATATCTACATTAAAAAAAAAAAAAAACAACTTTTTTTAAAGGGGACATCTGAGTGGCTCAATTAGTTAAGCGTATGACTCTTGACTTCAGCTCAGGTCATGATTCCATGGTTCATGGGTTCAAGCCCCACAATGGGCTCTGTGCTGACAGCTCAGAACCTGGAGCTTGCTTGCTTCAGATTCTGTGTCTCCCTCTCTCTCTGCACCTCCTCTGCTCATGCTCGCTCTCTCTCTCTCTCTCTCTCTCTCATTCTCAAAAATAAACATTTAAAAATTTTAAAAAAGAGAGAATATCTTTACATGCCCCACCCCATTTCTGAAATTTCACTGGTAGAAGGCCTCTAAATTTTAGTTGGATTTATTTCCTACCCTCTGACAAGCAAGTATCTTACCAGCAAATCTGGAGTAGTCCTTATATACTAGGTCCAATCAGCATAATGGACCAGTATGATATCTTGTGGAAGGGAAAGGTGATCAAGATCCCTGCCAACAAAATTATGACATAGGCCTGGAGAGCTGATATATCCCTGAGGTAGGACAGTAAAGGTGTATTGCTGGCCTTGCCAGCTGAAAGCATGATGAAGAAAAAGCATTTGCCAGACTAATACCAGGAGATGTGTTGATTTGCTCAAGCAATGAAACCATACTTTGTACAGTAGCTGCAATTGGAGTCACCACTTGGTTAAGCTTACAATAATCGACTGTCATTCTACAAAATCCATCTGTCTTCTACAAAGCCAAAGTGGTAAACTGGATGGGGATGTGATTCGAATTTCTGCATCCTTCAAGTTCTTGATAGTGGCACTAATCCACACAATCCCTCCAGGAATGCACTATTGTTTTTGGCTATTTTCCTAGGTAAAAACAGTTCTAGTGCCTTCCACTTAGTTTTTCCCACCACAATATCCCTCCCCCACAGGTCAAAGAACCAATGTGGGGATTCTGCCAGCTGCTGAGTATGTCTACTCTAAGTATGCATTCTGATACTGGGAAATAACCACAGGATAGGTTAAGGGATCCATTGGGCCCATATGAGATGGACCAAAGTTAAAAATCCATTGATCACCTGACTTCCAAAAGTCCATAGTCCATAGTCCATAGTGTGACTAAAGGACCACACTGACACTTTGGGTCTCCTGAAATCACTTAAGAGTGTGAAAATCTGATTATATCCTTTTCCCCAGTACACAGTTACCCTAGAAAAGGCCATAAATCCCTTTGGGGAAGACTGGGAGAAAAACTAACAGTATAAACTTTTGGCAGTGTACGTGGGTCCTTCCTCAAGGGGACTTAGCCTCTCTTTCATTTGAAGGGTTCTGGGTCTGTAAACTCATTCAAATCTGGTAACTGATTAAAGGGATGTGACTCTCTAATTTTATAATTCAGGTTAGACTTTTGTTCACTTGACCTAGAACATTTCTGCTTATACAGATCAAGTAAGAATTTAGTAGGCTTCCTATCTATTTCACTTCTAGAAACACCACAATCAACTATCCAATACCACAGCTCCACTCTGACTCTACTGTCCATTACAGTAGTCATCCCTACCTTGTCTTTGGTGGCTGAGTGCTGCCACTTGGCACTGTTACCCCAAGATCCCGTTACTCTCATTGCACTTAGGTTCTCCTAATCAGTGACCACAGTTCCCACTGTAATGTCTAGTCTACAAGGGAAGGGAGATCACAAAGCTCTTCAAGGTTTCTGGGGCTTCCCTCAGAAATTTGTTTCTCACAGTACTGGGGAAAGATAGGTCTGTTTCGGCCCTCCCAGGTTGGGTGAGCAGGTCTTAAAGGAAATATCTATTCTAATATTCCAATCTCCCTAAAATTTTTATCCCTCCCTCTACATTAAACAAGGGCCAATCCAGCATTTCTAACTCACTCAGTGTGAGCCACTTTTCCATCTATATTTCAGCCAAACAAATGGTTAGAACTTCCTGAGCTACAACA